CAGACACCAGTTTATGTGATTCAGCACAGCTATTTCATTAATTGCGTTTCATGGTTCATTTCCTCAGATTACACTCAAAATAAATAAATAAATAGGAACACAAAGCCGCTGTGTTCTCTGAACCATCCACCAAACAAAAAGGAGAAAAAAAATGCCCTTATTTTAATTGGCTTCCTACATACTTTTCTGTCTTAGGTACTTTGTTAACCACAAAATCAAAAATAAAATAATTTGCAGTCATATTCTGCTGTCTAATTATCTCCTCAGTTTTCCGTAGAGACTTAGTGACTTACAGAGAACCCTGCTACGAGGAAACACATTTAATGAAAGCGAAAATTTTGTAGAGGCTTACCTACAAGCATCATATATCTCCATCTGCTGATTTACATGCTTGTATTTTGTTGCTTAAATTTAACACAGACAAACTGTGTGGGCAGTCTCAGGAAGTCAACAGATTAGACATCAGTTTAAAACCTGACCTCACCTCTCACATATCCTGATAACTATACGCACGTGGAAAAGTAATTACAAGAAGCAAGGTAAGATGCAAATGTAGAAAGTCAGAAATTGCTTTGATTCAATCAGTAACGTAGGTGAGCATTCAAAAAGGACACCCAGGTGATGCTTGAACAAGTGACTTCAGCACCACAAAAACCTTAAAGAGCAGTCAATACAGTCATGAACTTTTAAGATTAAATATTACTTTCTTGCCCCCAAAGTTATTGTTTGGTATTCAGTGGTTTCATATCAAAAGCTGCAATTTTCAAAACATCTTCTGTAAGGAGCTTTTACTAACACTGAAATTCTTGTGAAGCCCTTGCCCAATTCCAGTGCTATGTCACTGAAACCTTTGCCACTCAAAGCCGAAAGTCAGACTGAATCAGATGCGGCAATCTTCTAAAGATTGGAGTCTCTATAGATTTTTCAAAAGCCTTTCCTTAGGAAGTTTTTCAGGTCTGCGGGGGAAGAGATGCACCCAGGAATAGCCTTCAGCCTTGTTGTATAGCAATCATGTGGGAATGGAGGTTCAAAACTTCATTTGAAGTTAGTCAGAGCACGTTCTGGCTGAAAGCTTTATAAAGCAGAACACATCTCTTTACGAGAAAACAAAGAACATCCCCTCAGTTCTCATTTGACAGGGAAAATATTGCTTCTTTTTGTTTGTTTTTACAAAAGATGCAAATATTGAAAGCTCAATGTTTTCAAAAAACTGGGACTGAACATATTTAGAAAATATGGGTCAGGAAGTCCAGGCAACTGCTGAGTTATAATCATCTATCTACTATAAATATCTGCAGTGTGAAAAGAGCTCTCTCTCCCTCTGCATTCTCTGCTGTTGCTGCTAAGCACTAGGCTTTTTTGTGATTTCATTTTAGTAATCAGAATCCCTCGTACTTCCCGGACAGATGGCCATTCACACTTCAGTGCTCATTTAAACACATACGTCAATGATGACAGAACATTTCAGCTGAGAACAGGCCAATGTAATCTCCCAAATTCAAGGCTATCTGTCATTTTTGTCGGTTATATAAAACCGCAGTCAAAAGTAGGACTGTTCTTATTTGGAAAGCTAGAAAGAAAATGGAAAATTCCATCCACCTGGCTTGCTGTCTCCACGAAACTCAGGCAAGGCTATTTAAAATGATTTGAGAAGCTCTGAATGTCTGGCCTCTTCTGATCCATTGGCAGTTGCTCTTGGGGCCTGCTAAGAAATGGGGAAGCTAATATCAGATTAGAGAATGAATGTTGGGCCTTGCAGGCTGCTCTGAGCCCCCAAAACAGCATTAATTCTGTATATCCTCTTCAAATCCATCCCATGTTTATAATGTAATGGTCCTTCATTTGTCTCTTAAGGTATTAGATAAGTACATGCCAGCACCTTGCAGCTGCACTCTGCAATATACAAAAGACAAATTGGAAACAGAGGGCAAAGTATCTTCTTGACTCTGACGCTGATCCCCTGTGTTTGCTCTGAGTGGACGCAGTACTTATGCGGATAAATAGACAAAATTATTTTCCACTGCTGTCAAGCCAGCATCCAAGACAAGAAGGAAAGCATTTAAATTTAATAACATTCTCTTCAGCTTCAGGGTGGACTATGTGTAAGAAATGAAAATCTGTAATATGAAAAAAATATATATCTATTCATGACATTTCTGGTTCCTGCCATTTCTGTTCTTCCTACAGGAAGAACATGTATTGTGCCAAAGGTGTCTGCTTAACTGACTTTATCAGCAAGTGATTATTTATTTATTTTAGTTCAAATAAACTTTACAGGCAATCTTTTGGGAACTCTGCCAAACCTAAACCAACCTACGAGCTATTTAAAGTTCAATTAATTAGCAGGACATAATTAACACGGGAACATTTAAGAGAGTGTATATGCAATCAGCCAATTATTATCAACACAGCAACAGAGGTGTGACACAGTATGGGTTTCAAGCATATTCACCTAAGTATGTAAAGATAATGAATATAGCAGTGACTAAATATTTCGGTTTGCCATCCATGTGAAGCTACAACAAGTCTGCTTCTGCAATTTGCACCTAAGCTACAAACCATAGAGCTCAAGACGTGCAACTGGGAGTACAAAAATTTCCCTGAACTTACAGTGCTGTTTAACAGCTGAGAATCAAAATTGTACTTTGCAGGTGCATTACCAGAAACTGAGACCCTTATTGTACTGTACATTTGTCATTCGTGTCTGTGAAGTGAGATTTCCCACCAATAAGCAAAGCACAGCAGTGGATCAGCAGTCCAGTCAGATTTGATAATCAAATCAGTTTGACCCTGGATGATCCTGTCATTCTGAAAGTAAAAGCTGTGAAAAGTGCAGAGTTTAGGGAACACATTACGTGCCAATTAACAAAAATTATGCTGCAATAGTCAGAACAACCATTGCCAGCCCACTGTGGAAGCCTAACACTGGTGATACTGGAAACTTCACTACTGCATTGCTAGAATGCAGTCATGATCCTCAGGTAAGCACCACTTAGATCACTAAGATGAAAGAGTTATCAAAGCAGTCAGTATTTTTCAGCTGAGTTATCAAAGCAGTCAGTATTTTTCAGCTATTCCTGAGACAAAAATTCAAAAACCATGGTTAGGCTGAATAAAAAGCTTTAAGATAGCAGCAGAAGTATACCTACTTCTAAAGGTGTAAAACACACTGGTGAGAAGCTGGATTTAACCTTAGCTGTGTGCTTAGTACTGGAAAAGACCCCTTAAATAAACTTGCCTTGTCAAAGACATTGTGAAATAAAAGAAGCTGACCCAGAAGGATTCTTGAAGGCACAACAGAGGAGTGGCTTTACAGATCAGCAGTGTTAATAAACTAGAAGAGCTGACCCAGGATGGGATTAGCTGGAGGAGCAGGCAGTCTGTTGCGAGCACCTGATTGAGCTGGAACAAGACAGAAGATGAGAATAAAATACCTTGTGGCTTCTGTCAGAACCCACCACTAAACTTTCTGGGGAATAAGATAAATTTGAAGGAAGAGAATAATTAACTTCTCTTCTGGAAAGTAATCAGTAATTCATTCTGACTTCAGGGGAAAAAAAATGGTTTTCTTGGGGAGGAAATTGAAGGTATGTTAGTTGAAAGAATCTCTGTACCCCACCTTTTCGCTTTGTTTCATTTAACCTCTTTCTTGAGCCTGGCAGAAATCTGAAGTTGAATGCAAGGAAGAGGGCAGGACAGTCAAGATCCATGTTCTTTTTACAACACATTGTCTTCTGCAGTTTGAGCATGTGATGAGAGCTGCCATATCTGGTTGACACTCCTGCAGAGGAGTGTCAGCAAAGCAGAAATCACTTCTGGATGAACAATTATAGAATATCCTGAGTTAGAAGGGACCCATAAGGATCATCAAGTCCAACTCCTGGCACCACGCAGGTCTGCCCAAAAGTTGAGACCATATGACTAAGTGCAGTCCAATCACTTCTTAAATTCAGACAGGCTTGGTGCAGTGACTACATCCCTGGGAAGCCTGTTCCAGTGTGCAACTACCCTCTTGGTGAAGAACCTCTTCCTGATGTCCACCCTAAACCTCCCGTCTCAGCTTAACACCATTCCCGTGGGTCCTATCACTGGTGATTACAGAGAATAGGTCACCTGCCTCTCCACTCCCCCTTGCGAGGAAGTTGTGGACAGCGATGAGGTCCCCCCTCAGCCTCCTCTTCTCCAGGCTGAACAGGCCCAATGTCCTCAGCCACTCCTCATATGTCTTCCCCTCTAGGCCCTTCACCATCGTCGTCGCCCTCCTCTGGACACTCTCCAACAGTTTTACATACTTGTACTGTGGTGCCCAGAACTGCACACAGTACTTGAGGTCTGTGGTGTAAATGCCTGAAGTAACTAGGAAACTAAAACTAACATTCACATTTTTTAAGGAAAAGGTACAGCATTGAAGAGGCTTTCAGGGTAGGGCATAACTGCATTACCTGAGCATTCCCTAGGCTCCCAACCTTAGATGCTATCACGCTGGGGAAACTTGGTGTGCTAGCTCTAAGGAACAGCACGGAGCGTAGAGTGGAGTGGAGACACCACGGCTAGGCTCTGTAATCAGGTGGGGCCTCAATTGTTCTTGTGCACAAAGCTGCATTTTTTGCCACCCTAAGCCAAAGACCTGTCATGTTTTGACAAATGCTTTACCCTAGTGTACTTTTTGCTCATTATAATATCATTATAATACCAAAACACACCTCCATCCCAAAAGCTACCCGCCTCCAAGGTGCGACCACCCCTCACTGAGCATGCGCTCTGAATTTCTCGGAGCCTATTACTTTAAACGGAGACGGGAAAACTTTACACCAATCATAACTAAGATATGCTTGACGAGAGCCACTCAAGCTCCACCTAAAAGATAGAAAATAATATAAATTGGCCCGAGAGAGAGGGGATGTTAGGGAAGATACCACTGTCAGGGGAGATACCATCCCGAGGAAATACAACATCCTTAGAACCTCCTGACTCCTGGGATCAGTCGACGGGCTGAGCCTCTCTTCCCCCCCCATTGGGATGCCTTTGGGTGAGATCTGAATACTTGCTTATAAATCTCTATAGAGTCTTTGATCCTTTTAATGCATTTATTTCTAGGCTGCGCACCTGTGACACCTGTGTATTTCATGCATACTAGCTTGCTTTTGCAGACAGTCACTATTGCTGGCAATCCAAAAGAACCTGATTATCTGTTGCTGTAATAAACCATACTTGATTGCATTGTGATAGCTCTCATTAAGTGCAACTAGGGTGAGGGTGGTTATCCATGATAGTTCAGTGTTCTGAACCAGATCCCCAGACGGTTAATGCATTTTTGGTGAATGTCTGACGGGACCCCTAGACGGTTAACGTGTTTTTGGTGAATGTCCGACTGCTTCAGTACTCTGAATCTGACCGGGCCCGTAACGGTTAATCAGCTACACCCCTTAACACGACAAGGTCAACCACAACCCCCAGATCCCTCTCTGCAGGGCTGCTCTCCAGCATCACATCCCCCAGGTTGTATGTATAGCCAGGGTTGCCCTGTCCCAGGTGCAGGACCCAGCACTTGCCTTTGTTAAACTTCATGTGGTTGGGTGATCACCCAGCTCTCCAATGTTCATTTAAAATATTGATTTTTATAGAAAGCCTTGATCTAAATGTAGTTTAATCGGAATTATATAGAAATGTCATTTCTCTTCTTGAAAGTAACTGAGGATTTTCTCCATCTCCTACTGTAAGATACTAAATTATGCTTATGTAATCTCTGGCAAAATTGGTTAATAGTCTCTGTAGGCTTGGATGTAATATACATCAGATACTGCAGATCTCCTTTGAGAAGATCAAACTTTTACCACTCAGTAGAAGAAAGTAATTAGATAAAGACTTACTGAATGCATTATTTTGACTTCTGGGGTTTTGGATTCTCTTCCTGTTTATTTTATTTTATTTTAAACTTACATGCAGTTTGGTACTCCCATATGGTTTAGGAAGGTTAATGAAAACTTCAAATTTCATTTTTTTAAGCTGCATGTTCTCAACTCTAAACAAATATTTTGAAATCTAAATGCAACAAAGAACCAAAATTACATAAAGGTGCATTACTGCGGCATTTTGATGTGCAGATGAGTTTCTTCCAATGTTCCTATGTTAACAAATTAGTAGAGTAGTAAGGGTAGTCCAAAGCCTGGTGGCCTCAACTGAATTTTCCAGAGGTACCTTTCAGCCAAAGAGGGATACCTATCTCTTCAGTAACCTTAGTCTAACGATTATCATTCATGATGTTACTCAATTCATTACATGCCATCTTGCATAATCTCCTATCAGTTTTTTAATATAAGGTTTTCTTATACTTCTTGACTGCATAGTTACTAATACCTGTCATTTAGGCATATATTCATACTTCAGTCTTTATCAATAATGAAAGATCAGAAAAAAATCTGTTTGTTACTCATCTGCCTGTTTCAGTTATTGCATCACCTCAGCTGCACAGTCGAAGTAGGTTTTTTTTCAAGCCTTAATCACAAATAAGCCATTTCAAGCCTTGACTCGAACAGTTCTGTTTTAGCTTAGATTGGTCAGTAGCTTAAATGCTACTGCAGCAGGAAGAATTTGCTTGTCTATCTAATCATTAGCAGAACAGTTCTGTTCAGTAATATTAATGACTGTATAAATAACAAAATAACTTCATACAGTTTTGCATAGACATAATTCTCTTTTAATACCTGACCTTCTTTTAATAAGCAAACTTATTGAAATTCCTTTTTAAAACTATTAAATATTGTAGCTATAATAAGAAAGAGAATATTGGGTTGTGATATTTAAACCACAGGTGATAAAAAGAAAATTTGCCTTTCATACATGAGTTGTCAAGCATTCTGCTGAACATATTTTTTTCATATAAAAGATGATGGTAGCTACATTGTCTGAACTGCTTTAGAAATATCAATCTTTGGATATCACCAATGCAGCCAAGTCTTCTACCTTCACTTATCTCATAATAGCTTGTACAGGATATCCAGCTGAAGTCTAACTCTTCATACAAGAGTTACTCCATCAGGATTACTAATTTCACTTATACTGCATTAGTGCCAAGGAGACTTGCTCCCTATAAGCAATACTAACACCAAAAATTGCCACGAAGTCCAGCTGCCAAAGGACTGACAAACTAAAATCTTCAGATTGCACATTCCTAAGTTTTCTCATGGTTAACTGTAGAAATTAAGAATATTTCTAAGCAAATGGACCCTAACCCTTCTCCCCCTCCTCCCCTTTTCTTTCCACATACACATCACAGCCCAGAATCTTGAATGTCTTGAATGGCAACTCAGTTACGTGAATGTGAAGTTAACAGATGAACACAATAACAGCAGAAGATGTAAAATCACTGGCTGTGACACACTCTGTGAAGACATACCTATTTCTCTCTAAAGAAAGACATTTGCATGACATGTCAAAAGAATATCTGTAACCACTAGGCAGAACAAGACTTCGAGGGCTAATGAATCTTTTGGAATCAAAATGTTTATGCAACAAGGTTGTCTGTGCACAAGCTAATATAGCTGTGAGAAATTTGTAAGCACCAGATCTTCAGGTAAGGCAGAGACCATTTACAAACTAACTAACACCAGCTTCCCTTGTAAAGGGAGCAGGATGAAGGGACTAATTTTAATAAGATAGAGATTGGTTAAGTAAAAATCACCCCCAAACTTCCAAGACACTTTTGTCTAATTGGTAGGTATCTATATTCAACTGTGAAAGAAAAGAGGAAACTCAAAGTTTTTTCTTTATTATTGTCTAAAATTAATTTACACTTGCCATCACTGGAGTACTCAAATAACATCTTTTGCCACCTCATGCCCTAAAAAATAGTTTGGAAAGATGTGAAACCCTTTTTATGAAGGAGAGCAGTCTCCTGAAAAGCTACAATGCCAACTACAGCCATCCTAGCTCTTTAAAGTAGATCATTATTTGATTATCAGACACACATGCCAAGTCATAAATTAACATTAAAGTCAGTGATGGGACTTGAACCTTGATCTAGTGGCTTCCCAGGTGAGTGCTCTGCACTTGAGGTAATAGAGTAATTAGACAGCTTTTCCCTCTAAAGGATAATTGCTAATGCATGTTGGCTGTTGGAGAGGAAGCCCTCCTGAGGAACAGATATGGGTTTCCTTTTTCATTAAAAAAGAACCTTAACTTTTTCAGTGGTAACCTTCAGCATATTAAAATGTTTAGTGCCTGAGTCAGATAGAAGTGTCCCTCTGAGTAACAGACAATTAAGCATAGCAGACAAGTGGGAAAGTAGCACAATGGTTCTCAGAAAAACAACAGTGGCCTTTAAATAATAGCTGCCCTATTAACCATTCTGTGCAGGTGTAGCCCACAGTACTGAGAACCAGTGTACAAATATTAGGGGTATTGACAAAAGTAACAAATTCATGTGATCCACAAGAAGATCACAGACAGTCTAGACCTAACCTATTATTATAATTTTCCAGAGAAGATACCTCTCTTGGATGTGTCAGGTTGCATATGTACAAATCTCTCTGCATACAGAGTGCACGGGTCCAGTTTCTTTACTTTTCCTGAACTCTGGCCTTGCCCTCAATCATAAATCTGCTTAGATATAAATGTGTACATGCATTTACTAAATAGATCAGATTAATAAACATCATTTGATCTAAATCTAATCTTAGCAAATTAAGATTACCCTGACAAAACCAAAAATATCATAGATACAGAATCTTAAACTATCAATACTCAGAAATTCTGGTAGATGAAAGAGAATTTTACAACTGGTGAATATAAAATCAAGTAAGATGTCTGAAGCTCAGTTTGAAATGTGCAGAAGTTTTCCTAGTGACATGAATTGAGCCAGCTTTAGGGTCTAAATCATTTATGACTGATCCTGTCTTACCTTACCTTGGCTGTGATCATTAGCATTTTGAGGATAGAATTTCCAGTAAGTATGACATGCTGCTAGTATATTTAGTCTCAGACTATAAATACCAACATTCCATTTCCTTTTAAGTATCTTTAACTTCCAGGAAGATGTTTTTACTTTCAGAAGTAAGATCTATCTCAGTATATTGCAGATAGGCACGTTACATGGCTGGAGAGATTCCATGGGTTTCATCAGTCTTTGTCTGTTAACTTTGAATGAGAGTGACAGGAACCCCTTCAGCTGGATTTCAGTTGGATTTTTACATGAGACAGATTTGACCAGCAGAGGATCTTTTCCTTAATTTCGTATTTTTGCATTCTTTCAAAAGTTTTCTATAACATTTGTTTCTTTCTACATCTTTCCAGGGTGAACCAGCCTTCCTGGAACTCAGCAAGTCCCGTCTGTCACTGAGAGGTAAGGCCACTTCCAGAAAATTTGAACTATTATCATGGCAGCATTAGTGCTGCAGGTACAAGTGGCATGTCAGCAGTAGTAGATGGAGCCATTTACAAATTGCATTAAAAAGAGAGAAGTTATGATTACTGACCCCTTGAAATACAGTGAAAACCCGTTATAGCTTTTTTGGTTATGATCCCAGACTGCACAGCAATTTTCATACTACAGAATGAAGTACCCTTTTGTTTTCAGTCCACACTTCTCCCTTGCACTACTTCACAGCCAGCAACAACAGTATGTTGGTAACTCTCTTCTGGAATAGATATAAAGTCAAGGTTCTGACCATAAGTGCTTATTGAAGATTACCCTGTGCTTTTGGCACATTTGGAAACATTTAGTTGCATGTTCAATCTAAACTTCAGTTTGAATAACTATGTATACTAGCTACTCCGCTTGGAATTACTTTCTCAAACAGTCTGGTAGTTTTCTTCATTGCTTTTCAGAAATAAATACTCGCACATACATAAACCTGGCATTTCATTCCCACAACAAAAGACACAATTTACTTTTTCTATTTATGTACTTCCTCCGTGGACCTTCTACCACATATCCTCAACAAAAATCCTTTGATATTCATGGGGCTACTGGCAGAGTAAGTATCTTGCAGTACTAGCGTGAGGTAAGGCCATGCCCTTGCACTCTATTACATATGGGAATGGCAGAGAGAAACGCTATGGACCAAATCCTCAAAATTATTTATGCACCTGTCTTCATAGACCTTAAGTACATTCATGGATTTCAAAACAGTGCATCCATAATGAAACAGAAAACTGACACAGTTTCTGGAATCCCAGATTAGCGGTATTTCCTATTCCCAAGTGTAGCAGGTTTGTATTTGCCAAATTTACAAGTCCTGTGCTAGAGCTCAGAGCCCCACAGGCTCTGTGTTTGCACAGGAAGGTAGTGCATGTGCAAGCAAGCAGACTGCTGCACGGGAAGGGGATTTAGTGTTTTACAGATTACAATGTGTAGAGAGGGAAATTTCCATTGCAACATAAAAAAAAAGGTAGGAGACCAGCAGTGAGAACCCTTGCTACACTACCTTATTGCAAATGCATCTCAAGAATCCCAATTAATGGATGCCTTGTGTCCGCATATTCAAGAAGCCCTTTTGCTGAGACTGCCAACGTGAATAACAGTGAAAGCTACTTGTGGTACTGGCCATGGCAGGGATGACAACTGTCCTCCAAGAACTTGACCAAAAGCACTACAACCCTCAAAATTTAATTTTATGGATAGGGAATTCTGGGTCCAGTTAAGTGTCTTTGGAAATAATTTGGCTTAAAATGAAGTTCAGGGCTAGATTGGTTGCAGTCGCTAAACCTGCTTTTGGGAAGGCTGTGTCTCTGGGATGTGAGATGCCCTGGTAAGCAACTGTTTACTTAAAATGCTGTGTGAATATTTTGGAGTAGGAAACTATTTAACTAATTTACCATTTTGTCTGTTGACATCTTACAATCCTGTAATTTATTCATCCCTGCATTATCTGCCAAACTCTTTCCAATTTATAGTCTATTAATTGGACACCAACAGTGTGCCTTATGAGCATTGGATATTCATCCTGTTGTTTCTGATTCTCCTCTGAGTGTGAATTGTTCTTGGCATCTGACTTCCACTGTGACCGCTCAGGCTTCCAAGTTCTGCATTAACCTTCTCATGAACATCCTATAATGTCACTTAAAACTTACTGTTGCAGCACCATTACTTGTTTGAACGTTCACTGAAGTCAACCCAACCAATATAAATCCAATATGTTACCTAATACAAATGTGGTTAAAACCCATATGCATTAATATTTTTGTTGCTGTTGTTGCTATTTGAATATGATGGATAATATTTCAGTATGTCATATTACTGACATTGAAGTGTTGATAATATTTTGGTTAGGCAGGCATTGTTTTCAAGGATTTGCAGTTACTACCTTCTGTGCTACAATTGATGTGCACACCCTAGTTTTATTACAGTTCATTTATGAATCTGGATGTGAAAAAATTATTAGTTAACGTTAAAGATGACAATAAAATACTGGCATATTTCTTCTTAAACCTGAATTCTCTGTTTATAATATTGATAGAATTAAATTTTCCTAGTGCCTGGAATCTGAGAGAGAAGTTTAAATAGCATAATTTAGTTGGGTTTGCCATAATTTGCTTCAGCTATCTGACTGTATTATTAAGCATCACATTTGACACAGACATTTTAAACTACCTGGCATGGAAAAAAGGTGTTTCTTTCTAGTTTTATTTAGGAATTGTTGAAAGTAGTATTTTAATCTATTTCTTCATATCTATTTAGATGAACTTTGTATTTATTAAAGGATCAAACTGTGTTATGATGCTGGAATAACAGCTTCCTTTTAAAATTATCTGTTTCTAAAAAATCTCAAAGACATGCTGATAGAGAAGATATGATCCATGTGACATAATGACCATTCAGTAGTCAAAGAGGCAATTACTGAGTTGATGTTAGTGAGGAGTTCAGGGTGTCAGCATGACAAGATGAAACAGAATAGAGTCTGTATGAAGCCAGGGGTTCTGTATGCACTTTGTGCTCATTCCATTAATCTGAAATCACAGACTCAACAGACCCATAAATAAGGGGACCCAACATGCTTTAGGTTTTGTTGGTGTTGTTATTGAATAGTGAGCTCTTATGTGTGGATGGTAAGGTGGTTTAATTTTTTTAAATTTTTACCTGAGTGATTAAAACAGTAAAAATAACCCTTTGGTGTACCTCGCTCACATCCAGTTTTGTTGGCTCAGAAGTGGAAAAACGAAAACCCAGTATTTTCTACTCACTGTGGCTTTCTGAATATCATTATTCCTCTAGGGTTATTCTGGTTTTACATTATTTTGTATTTTTCTATGTTTTGTTAGATGCCTTTAAATGTTATTGTATGTCCCTTCACCCATTTCCAGCCTGGCAAATCATCTTTCCCTTTGTTTTGCAGTAACAAACCTATTTTAAAGACACTCTACTCCCCTCATCTTAATTTCTAAGTCATCAAACAAGACACTAAGAATCACTAAGGATATAAGAAAAATTTTCACACAAGGAGCCTAATGCCCTGATCACATTTGGGGTTGAGTAATTGCATTTCATGCATAGTGCATGAACATGTGCAAGAATCTCCTCTTTGCACTGTCAGCTAGACACAGCACTATGGATCAGGTTGCTATTTTTCAGATTTCTAGGAATGTTTTATGGAGAGAAATACATATCTGCCAGCAAAGCATTTTCCAAATGAAGATGGAGCATAAAACCACCTGCAAGTAACACAAACTGGTAATGGTGACATTTTGCTGTATAACTACATTCACTAGCACAATAAGAGGTAAAGAGCAAAGTTTTCATGTGCTTGCAATGTCAGGGAAAGTTGACAGTGTAAGCGCACAGCTTGTGCTAAAAAATAAAAATAATAATAAATAAAAAAAAATACAAGAGAGGCCACAGCAGTGTCAGGAAGGATTTCTTCCTGACAAATACAATGTCTCTTGGCTTCCTCATTCCATAGCCCTCCCAGCCGGGTCCCGCAATGGCAGATGAGAGCATGCCCTTTGCTTGTCAGTCCCACCAGTACAGCTGCAAGCAAACACCCAGATCACAAACAGAAGTTGTATTTACAATCTGTGCTGCTCTTTTCTCCTCTTTTGCAAGCATTTGTCTCATCTTCTCTTCAAGGAAAGAACACCGAGTTCTAATAGAAGCAGCATATGTGAGCCTCTACCAACTTATTTTTGCTCTTTCCCCAGGAAAGAGCGAATAGTACCATCACTGTTTCATCAAAATATGAGTAAAAATGTATGTTGTGATTTTGTTTTTATTTTGTTTTAATGCTGCTGAAGGGGAAAGGGAATAAGGGATATTGTTACAGTGAATGCTTTACTTTATACTTCAAATGCTTTTAACCACTTATCCTTTTCTCCTGCAACTATAAAGAAAGGTTAGAAATATTTTTAGAGGTGATTGTTTGCCATGGAAGTAAGTGGGTCAAAGTCTCTGTGTTTGAAATTCTGTATCTTTTCTCGTTATTTAACTCTGTACAGTGGCATACCATGACTTTCTAGACTCAGTTCATAAAAATAAATATAATAGTTCCCATAGAGCAAAAAAAATTAATAATTTCATATTTAGAAAAAAAAAAAGAATTTAATTTCTTAGGAGGGACAAAACACAGTATTCATGTGCTTGTGATATCAAATTTTAACATGTTGCAGCATTTAGAGGCAGAAAAGATATACAAATTTAAACCAACATTTGGAAAAAAAAAAAAAACACATAAATTTGGTTCTCAGATAGCAAGTCTGGCTTTGTAGCACTGGAAGTGCTGGCTGCCAGAGCTCTAGGTTCACTTCAGAAATGAAAAAGAAGTCTTTAACCATTCACACAAATCCCAACATCATCTGACAGCTGAATAGGGATAAGATTTTCTTATGTGTTTCTTGCCTTGTCCTCCCACCTTTGATTTATTTGAGCATTTTTATTTAAGGGAAAATTTCAAGACTCTGGTCTGATTACAGAAAATGTATAAAAACCCTAGATCAGAACATTGATGATATCCAATATAGATTTCCCCCCAGTTAACTTCTCAGAGTTTTATAGCTGTCCTTGTTTATTTAGGCTTTCCTCATATGGGTATTTTCTGTTGAGTTCTCTGTTGATTTTCTAGTGATTCCTAACGCTCTACTTATTGTTTTGGCATCAGATTGGCACTAACTTCATGTCCTATGAGAACAATTTATATCGACTTTAAGATGTTTTTCGTGAGTGGAAATATTTAATTTGGAGCCCGTAATGACATAAATAAAGTTAGAATTACTTTCTTCTCCATAAAGATTACTTTGAATGAATTTCCCAGTAACTCAGAATTAAGTGGTCCTCCTATAATTTTTCCAGGTCTGCTATCGATTAAGTTCCCCTGCATAAATTTACATCAGCCAGACTTTGTCAGAGAAAAT